TCCCAGCACTTCATCAGTCACAGACCAAATGCATTCACCATAAATTATAGGGCATCAACTCATATTTTTCATGTCATTAGAAGTGATTAAAATTTTCCAGTTTCACTAGTCAAATAAGCAAAGAAAGAAGAAATACGATCTATATTTTCTAAAGAAACTCCTCCCACTTTAACCTTGTTGCCAGTTACACTATAATGGTAATACTAATTATAATAGCAACTATAACTTATTTGAAAAGTTCCTATGTACCAGGCCTTGAGCTTCACATATGTTAACATTCAACTTAATCCTCAAACAAGGAGATAGGGTCCATGTGTTTTTCACATTTATATCCTTGGAACCAGCACAGACACAAGAAGATGAATGGTAAATATTTGTTAAACAAACGCATACGTAAACAAATGGAAAGTGGGGACAATCCATGTAGCATTCAAACCTGCAATTTTTAGGCAACCCAGTTTTTGTTTTCAGAAACTACAAATTGAACACCACACCCTGGTAAATTTCACACTAAATATATAAATAATGAACCTGTACAGCTGAAAGCAGCCTTGAAAGAGACCTCATTTTATAGATGTAGTCACTGATTGAGTGACCTCAACAAGTGACTTAACCTCTTACCAAACCATACATGTTATTTAACAATATGAGGATAGTAACTTCCTTGAAGAGGAACGGAATTCCTAGCGTTGTGCCTGGCTCTCAAGAAATGATTTATGTTGTTATTCTATTCGATGGCATTTTATGGGTGCTGAAATTTAAAAGTATTATTTTTGTTTCAGGAACTTAAAAAATACCAAGACTATTTTCATGTTTTTTATTTTGTAGAAAATATGACCAAAAATCAGAATACTGGGGCAAAGTGGACTTCCTACGATGATAAAATAAAAAGGCTAGTCCAAAAAGCAAGCACAGTATAGACCCCCTCAAAAATGTGGTAGGGAGATACTTTCAATAATTACTAATAAAAGGTAGGATCTGAAGCAATACAAGAAAGAGTTCAAACTAACTTTTGAAAAATACATTCAGGGGTTTTGTAGAAAATGGTTAGAAGAAAAATTCTGATCTTAGAACTGTGACATACATATCACCAGGTTATAAAGATCACAAGGACACTTTGTGGCTTAGATCATTCCTCAACGTTTGGGCTTGAATTCCACGACATGCCCTTTCTGCCTTCTCTGCTGTGTTCTTCTCCTTAGCACTGATCATTGCCTCACGTCCTGTTTGTTTTGCTTATTTTTTTTTTTTAACGTTTATTTATTTTTGAGACAGAACATGAACGGGGGAGGGTCAAAGAGAGGGAGACACAGAATCTGAAACAGGCTCCAGGCTCTGAGCTGTCAGCACAGAGCCCAACACGGGGCTCGAACTCACAGACTGCGAGATCGTGACCTGAGCCGAAGTCAGCCGCTTAACCGACTGAGCCTCCCAGGCGCCCCTGCTTGTTTGTTTCTTACAGCCCTTCTGGTTGGAACAGAAGCTCCATGAAGGCAGGGGTTTTCACCTATTGCTGAATCACCAGTTCTGAACACCTGACACACAGATGGTGCTCAATACTTTGCATGGACTGAGTAAATGAAGGCAGAAATTGAGACCCACGGGATTAAGCTCCTTTTATTTAGCCGGTAAGTGGCTGCACCTGTTAAGATATCCAAGGCTCCCAAATGCTCCTCCAGGACTAGCAGCCCCTCTTACCTCTCTTCTTTTCAGAAACTATCGTCTGTCCTTGCCGTTAGAAATCGTGGGAATAACTATGCAGTATTTCTGAACCGTATGAACAATCTATATCTTTTGAAGGTATCTAGCACATTTTATTCGAGCTACTTCTAGAACTCCCATTATAAAGGGGAGATTGAAGGGTGCCTGGGTAGCTTATTTGGTTGAGCGTCTGACTCTTGGTTTCAGCTGGGGTCATGGTCTCAGGGTTCATGGGTTTGAGCCCACATTGGGCTCCTGTGCTGGCACCTTGAAGCCTGCTTAAGGTCCTCTCTCCCTGTCTCAGCCCCTCCCCCACTCGCTCGCTCATACAGGTGCATGTGCTCTTGCTCTCAAGTAAATGAATAAATAAACTTAAGAAAAATAAAGGAGAGATTGATTTTTTTCAAAATTCCGCAACCGTGGAGACTCAATCTGAGAAAACTGCTAACTCATGAATAGCTAAACAATGGCATTAGCCTGAATCTGACTTGTATAGTGCTTTAAAGGTTGACTGCAATAGGGGCGCCTGGGCGGTTCAGTTAAGCACCCAACTCTTGATTTCAGCTCAGGTCATGATCAGTAAGGAAGTAAATAAATAAATAAATCAACAAACAAACTTAAAAAAAAAAAAAGTACAAAGGAGACCACAAGAAACCTAATTTCTAAGGACTGAGTTTTGCCAGCTCCCTATTTAAGGAAATTGTGAGTTAACAGAAGTCAAAATTTTAGAGGCTCTCATAAATAAAAGGATAAGGAGGTAAGTACTGGGAGAGCCACAAGAAGACAAAGTAATGATAATCAGACCCAGGCTTTTTTTTCCTGAGGAAATGTATTTTACAGTCTGTAATTTTTAACTAAACAACTATAACCAAACATGAAGGAAGAATACATGTTTTCAGATACACAAGGGTTCAAAAAATTAAACTACCACATACCCAGACTCGGATGGTATCTGCAGACTTAACTTCTACAAAATAACAAGGGAAACCAAGAAAGAGGAACATATGGGCCACAGGACACAGTGGGTCCAATTCAGGAGAACCGCAAAGGGATGCCCTAGACTGACAGTATCCAGTGACCCTGTGTAGTAATCAGCTTAGACTGGGGCAGGAGAATGGAGGCTCCTGGAGGGAAGACACTCAAGGAAAAAGCATATTTGATAAAATATGCAACATAATCAAGTTTGAAAGAAAATGAGGCCACAACAAAGGCAAAAGACACAAGAATGAAAGAAAGGCAATTGGAAACTCCAAGGGAGCAAAAATGGTATATGAGGAAGAAGATATGATCATAATACATTAATTGATTCTGTGTGAATGATATTTAATTATTAATGACACATATTTTAGAAGTTTAGAATTCTCCAAGAGACAGAGATTTAACCACAGTTATAACTGACTATACTGTAAACGCTCTACATGTTATCAAAGTAACAAGTTTAGGGGCACCTGGATGACTCAGTCAGTTAAACATCTGACTCTTGATTCTGGCTCAAGTCATGGTTTATGAGTTCGAGCCCCACATTGGGCTCTGTGCTAACAGTGAGGAGCCTGCTTGGGATTCCCTCTCTCCCCCTACCCCGCTTGCTCTCTGTCTCTCAAAATAAATAAATAAACCTTAAAAAAATTGTAAAGTAACAAGTTTAAAATTTTTGGTGGGGAAGAGGGAAGGAGAGCTGACGATGGAGTAGAGATGCTAACATTGTCATCTTACAGATGGGGACTAAAAAGAGACTGTAGTTGGGAAAAGCAGAAATGAAGATGCAGTAATATTAAGTTTAAAAGATAGCTATGGAGAAACTAAATATGTTGTATTTGGAAGAATGAAGAACAATGATATCTAAAATGCACAAATCAAGGGGAAAAAAAGATGAGTGAAAAATGGTTATATATGGGGGCGCCTGGGTGGCGCAGTCGGTTAAGCGTCCGACTTCAGCCAGGTCACGATCTCGCGGTCCGTGAGTTCGAGCCCCGCGTCAGGCTCTGGGCTGATGGCTCAGAGCCTGGAGCCTGTTTCCGATTCTGTGTCTCCCTCTCTTTCTGCTCCTCCCCCGTTCATGCTCTGTCTCTCTCTGTCCCAAAAATAAATAAACGTTGAAAAAAAAATGGTTATATATGGAGATCAGAATTGGAAATGGGGGAGAGTGGGACAGAAGGTAGTAGCTTTTTCTTACAGGGTTTTGTGGTTTTTGATTATCTTCAAACAATGCACTGTGTTACTTTAATGGAAAAAAACAATCAAGTAGGGGGGAGAAAATTAGCTCATGGCTCAGTCAAATTCTAAATTCTTCTGTATATAAACTCCTCTCTCCTATCAGAAAAGTCCAAATCCTCATCCTATAACCATATATATGCACTTCTGGAAATTATCATTAAAGGGAGGAGTTTGTGAATATTACTCTTATTTTTGGCAAAGACTCAACCACAGATTGCAAGTTCAAATGATTTTAGGAGCCTAAAAGGAAATGAGGTAGGTAAGAAAATAGACGGTTTTTTTTTGTCTTTTGTTTGTTTGTTTTGTAACTCTGAACTCAGAACTAGTGAACTGCAACGACTTTACTGTTTATAGGTTCTTTTAGTGCTTGGTAACAGTTTAGAAGTGAGAAAAAGAAAACCACAAGTTAATATCCCTTGCTTTCTCCCAACCTCAAGATTTCTAGCAGCTGAAGTTTCACATTGTTGGGCAGAAATATTTAACACGAGCATCTGGGATTTATTCATGTCAACTGTTGCTCTTTAAGAAGGGTGTTCTTTATTTAAAATACTAACCTTCTCTAAAAGACTGCTTCAGAAGAAATGAATGTCTCCTCCTTCCCATTCCCTGCCAGCACTCCCATTTCAAAGTTCAGCCTGCTCTAGGAAATTGAAAAGGAACCCCTTTCCTACAACCCCAAAGCCTCTTCCTTCAATATGCAAAAGCTTCAGGATAGTCCCCAAGGTGAACAACATCTCTGGGATCCTCAACCTCACTTCCAGATGGAGCCCCCAAGGTGGACAAGCAGATCCAGTTTCCCAACCCTTTTCCAGATGACAGCCTCCAGAAAGATGAGTGTGTCAGAGATCTAATCCTCTGATTCCAGATGTGGGCCAAAGAGCACATGAATAAGTTGAAACATCTTCTCCCCTACCATATGTAATCCCCTAAGGGAGAAAGCTTTTTGATGCCTCTCCAATAACACTCCACAGTAAATCTCCCCAGAGCTACGTCTCCAGAGATCAAAGCCTTATTTTTCTTTCACCTCTTTTCTCTTTTCCTGTTTTCCAACCTCAGTCCAAAAAGATATGCTATTTATTCCTCACCTGGGTCAAGGTGCTTATCTCTGAGCACACCTTGGAAATTCGGTTATTCTGAAGGTTTAAGGTCTTGAGGCCAGGCAGTTTATCTAATGATGAGGGCATCTTTGTAATCTTCTTCCCACTCAAAGTAACAATCTTAGTATTTTTACCACCTTTCAGTGCCCTTACTAACATCTTTTCAGTCATGGCCTTAGAAAAGAAATAGAAAAGGGAGAAGGTAATCACTAGGGATTAAGTTACTTATTGTGCATCTTTAGAACCTTTAATGACAGAATTAGGGTGTCATGGAAACAAAAACATTCTGAGATGTACCATGTTGAAGACGGGAGACATCAGATAGTTTCCTGTGTAAAAGGTACGGATAGGAAATAGCTGACTCTTCATTTAAAGCAGTTAATGTATAAGATGAGCCTACGATACTTTATGCCAGAGACATGGATGTTATCAGACTAATGAGATCACATCAAAAGGACACAGAAATCAACTTCTAGGGACTCCCATTGGTCTAAAATGGAAAATTTGAGGATCATAAGGAATAATCTAGAGTGAAACACGTAAAAATACATTAAAATCTGAGAGTTCATAATGGTATTTTAAAAATAAATGTGTTGATTACACAGGGATTGCTAGGGAACCAACTCATTCATAAGTCTGAAAATTGATAAATGAAAAAAAGGAAGCATTCTGCTTTTTCAGCACAAAGTTCATTTGAGTGTAATCTAATAGTTAACAAAGTTCCTATTCAAAGAAAAATTGAAGCTAATAAATGAGGAAGGAAAAATTGATTTAGGAAAATCACAATTTTTGCAGATCCTAGTAAAAAAACAGATCTAAGGAAATATGATAATTGGATGCTAAAAGCATTAGGTATGAGGTTGATGAGAACTTCATAAGTAAGAAATCAGGCTATAACTTAAACTCGTAATCAATTTTAGCATCGTTACAATTGAGACAGTCACGTTATAAGTCTCATGGACATGATACAATAAAAAGTACTCAGCACCACCTATGAAATATTATTGCCTAAAAATTGAACCTTGAAGCTAATCAACTGTCCAGACAAAACTACCACTTACAGAAAATATGATGACGGGAAAACAAGCTAAATTCATCTCAGGGAAGCAGTGAGCCAAATCTAGAACACAAGGAATTCTACGGGGCAAAAATGACACGAGGTCTGACCAACAAATCCATGGTATTAATAAAAGGGAGGAGAAACTGTCATGAAATAACAGCCAAATGCAGTATGTGGACCTTGTTTGGATTCTGATTTGAATAAAAATACTGTGGAGTGGTTTGGGGAAATGTGATCACGGACGGGTTATTAGATGATAGGAATTGCTAATTCTGTTATCTGTCATAATGGCGTGCTGGTAGTGTTCTTAAAAATGTACTTAACATCTAGAAATGCATCTGAAATTTGCAGGTGAAATGACATGATATCTTGAACTTCCTTTAAAATAACTTGGGTGTGGGGAGTGAGTGAAAAGAAACAGATCTAACTTATTGGTGCCCCATAATGGGTACATATGAGTACATTATACTATTCTCATTATTCAGAGAAAAGATTAGGACAAAGACAAAAATAACGGGAATGGGGAGGAGCTGAAACCAGTGGTATCTGATTACTATTAGAACTCCACTTGAGGGGTGCTGGGGTTGCTCAGTCATTTAAATGACCGACTCTTGGTTTCAGCTTCGGTCATGATCTTGCAGTTTGTGAGTTTGAGCCTAGAGTTGGGCTCTGCACTGATGGCGTGGAGCCTGCTTGCAATGCTCTCTGCCCCTCCCCCACTCTCGTTCTCTCTCCCTCTCTCTCTCTCAAAAATAAATAAATTAAAAAAAAAAAAACACTCGATTTGAGTCCATATGAGGCTTGGAGGCACTTGGGTTATTTGGGTTATATAAATAAATATGCCTGTTTTGGTTGTTGATTTCCAAAAACTTAAACACTATAAAATATATACTGTATTGAAAGTATTCAGGACACAATTCAATCTTTTCTTTGTAATTCACAAATCACTTTATTTATTTATTCAACAAATATTTAAAGAGCACCTACTATATGCTTAATACTGTCCCAGGCACTGGGGAAATTAAAAGTGAATTAAAAAGACAAAAATCCCTCTGTCAGTGAATTTACTGTCCCAGGCACTGGGGAAATTAAAAGTGAATTAAAAAGACAAAAATCCCTCTGTCAGTGAATTTACATTTTAGTAGGGGGAGAAGAACAATCAAGATAAATAAGTAAGTCTAGTATGTTAGATGGCATTAGGGAAGGGGAAAAGGAACAAAGCAGGTAAGGAAAATAGGGAATGTGAGAGTGGGGAGTTTGCAGTTCTAGACAGGACGTCCGGAGAAGGCCTCCCTAAGAGGCTGCTATTAGAGGAAAGAGCTTTTCCAGTAAAAGAATAAAGCAATGCCCAAGTCCTAAAGGAGAATCATTGAATTTTTAAAGAGTCTTAGGTGCATCAGTATCATCATAACAGTAAAACAAGAGGTGCTGATTAATAGTGACTTCCAGTTGCTAGAGTAAAATCATTTTTCAGCTACTTAATCACTGCGCTTTGGTTTATCTCTTCCAAACCTATCTTCCAGCTTCATTACTCTGACACTTCAGCGTTTCCTAGGAACAAACATGTTACTATCTAAACAAACTAATCATGAGACATAAAAAAAAAAAAAATCTTATGGACACTCATCTCCTCTGAAATAATTCTATGTGGCCAGGACACCAGCTGACACTACCCAAACACGGGTAATTTGATTTAAAGGGGTAAAACAGGCCACTGCAAGCTGATACTGCTTTCTATTAATTTGCTTAACCTAGAAAATCTGGTAAGAATTCTTGATTCCTCCTTCTCTCTTCCAACATGCAGTCAACCCCATAAATGCCACCTGTTCTGGTTATCCATTGCTAGGTAACAAACCACTGCAAAACATAACAGCTTAATACATTTATTTTATTCACAAATGTAGAATTTGGGCAGAGCTTAGTGGAGAAAGTTTATCAGTGTTGCTCTTGGTGACATCTGGGGTGACTCAAAGGCTGAGGTGGAGATCATGTAAAGACTCATTCACCTGTATCTGGTGGTAGGTTCTGGGACCTTCAGGCAATCAGCTAGAACACCCCCACATAGCCTATCCAAGGGGGCCTGAGCTGCCTCGCAGCATGGTGGCTTAGCTCTGAGAGTGAGCATCTCAAGCAAGAAAGTGAAATGGAAGCCTTATCACTTCATGACCTAGCTTCAGTATCAGGTAGCTTCACTTGTGCCACATTCTATTCATTAGAACTCAAGTCCCTAAGAACGGCCCATATTCAAAGGAAGAAGAACTAGACCCCACCTCTTGATGGTAAGTGGACATATCTTAAAATCCACCCCAGTGGGCCCCTTTCTCCCAAGAGCCCCCTTCCCCAAAACTTTGTTGAGAGCATCAGATTACAGAATCTCGTCATCTAAATCAAGTAACAAGGGTGGATGCAGCTCCTTAAAGGCAGTTCTTTGAGTCTGTTTCAGGGACAGTCCATCTTGATCTGAAAACCTAGGAACTGAAGAGACAAGTCATCTCATCCTCAGGTACCCAGAAATTAACAATGGGTGAACCATAGGACAGGCAATAGCACCACTCAAAAAAGGGAAAAGTTAGAGGCACAAGGCAGCCCTGGTTCATAACAATTCTGGAACTCAACTGGATACATGTTGTCAGATCCCTGATTAACGTTCAGCCCTACTGCCTGGGACTGGTTCTTGGTCTTCTCTCTGGGCTCTTGAATTATCTTTCCTTCTTCATAGAACATAGCTCATGTTTGCTATTTTTTTCTCAGACTTTACCCTGTCCATAGAAGTTCAAGGCTCCAAAGGTCTTCTCATGTTTTTTTTTTTTCTTTTTTAAGTATATTCGCCAAGTTGTGCCACCATCACAATCAATTTTAGAACTCTTATTGCCCAGGGGCGCCTGGGTGGTGCAGTCGGTTAAGTGTCCGACTTCAGCTAGGTCACGATCTCGCGGTCCGTGAGTTCGAGCCCCACGTCGGGCTCTGGGCTGATGGCTCAGAGCCTGGAGCCTGTTTCCGATTCTGTGTCTCCCTCTCTCTGCCCCTCGCCCATTCATGCTCTGTCTCTCTCTGTCCCAAAAATAAATAAACGTTGAAAAAAAAAAAAAAAAGAACTCTTATTGCCCAAAAAGAAGCCATGTGTCCTTTAGCAATCATCCTCCCATTTTTCCCACCCACTCCAGTCCCAGGCAGCCACTGACATCCTTTCTAGCCCTGTAGATTTGCCCATTTTTGACATTTTTCTATAGATGGGATCATACACATTGTCTTTGCGACTTTCACTCAGTGTTTCTGAGTTTCATCGTGCCACAGCACATACCAGTACTTCGTACCTTTTTATTGCCTAACAAGATTCCATCGTAGGTCTCTACTACTTTTATTTATCCACTTACCAGTTGATGGACATTTAGGCTGTTTCTACTTTTCAACTGTTGCATATGATGCCATGGACATTTGCGTGCAGTTTTCTTGAGTGTCTATCCAGAAGAGGAATTGCTGAGTCATAGAGTACTTTTGAGGACCTGGTTGACGGTTTCCCAAAGTGGCTGCATCAGTCTACCTTCCTACCAGCAGCATGTGAAGCTTCATCCTGTCATTTTATGGTGTCACATTTGAGCCAAACTGATACAGTCCCTTTTAAAACTTTGTAGGCTTGTCTTGAGTTTACAATTCTCTTCATCCAACAGAAGCCACACCCAGAATGTCTTTGCAAGAGCTCCTCTCTGTTTTGGTTTCCGTGAGACTACTGCGGGACAAAAGCCTTAAGAACTTGAGAAGCTCTCTCATGTGTTGACTAGAAAGCATCTTTCATCCTCTTGAGGTCTCAGCAAAGGTCTCAACATGCCCGTGGCTTCTTCTTCAGACTTCATTTTCCTGACAGTTCCCTGATTTGTTCTCTGTCTGGAACTCATGTAATTTTAGCAACATTTACTGTCTGGAGAGGCTATGAATAAGAAAATTTTATTTTTCAAACCTCCCAATTTGTGGCTCATTTACAGTTCTTTTTGCTTGCCTTTCTCCTCTTTTACTATAGGCACCTAGAAGAATCTTATACCTTCAATATTCTGTCTAGAAATCCCCATAGGTAGATCATCCAGTTAATGAGGTATACTTTTTATTTTCCATGTTA